TAGTTATAATTAAAATTACTTTATCTAAAAATGTGGCTATAATTAGACAACACGTTGTGTTTAAATAGTGATACAAATGTTGGTATCGATTGCTTTCATTCAATTCAATGCAAAACTTATTCATTTTATAAAACTGACCAACTTCTTATTTCATTATTACACTTAAATAATATGCTATATAGGAAAATAATTTTTATTGTGAAATTTTGACCTTAATAAATCAATTTAATAGCTTGACATTTATATCTACATTTAAATAACAGTTTACATATTTTTATTTCCTATTTAATATTAATATATTTCATCTATGTTATTGATATTAACATTTTATATATGTACTAAATATTTATTGCGTTGATAATTACTTTTATATTAATGTAATGTTAATGTTGTGAAACTATTTAATATTAAATTTATTGTAAAATAAATGATGAATAGAAGTTACAATTGGAATAACTATTAAAAAGTATAAAAAGTATTTCATGGTATAATTATTTACATTTGTATTACAAAAACAAGTATGTTATTTATAAAAGTAACAATACAAAATTTTTATTATAATATAAAATAAAAATAATTATTATTTGTCAAAGTGTTAACTAAATTAATAACTTATAAAATGTCTTACAAATAAATGTCATGCATTTAAAATTAAAATTTTTATTAAGGTAAGATAACCAATATAATTATATAAATAGTAAGAAATTACTTATTTATGTACAAATGTTGAATGTGAAATGTTTTTATTTTATCTTGCATGTACGGTACATTGTACATGATAAAATAATCTATTTATTAAATATAAGTTATAATAGTAATTAACAATGATTGCTGTAAAAATAAATTGAGCTAGTTTGAAGTTCATTTATTATCACTAAACCTTCAAAATAGTATTGATTTAACGTTAAATAAACGTTGCAAAAAATACCTACAATACGTTACATAACGTTTGAGGTATTAAGTAAATAACTATGATAAAACATTTTATCAGGTACTGAATTTTACTTCAAGGTTAACTGAGCAGCACATATAAAATGATCAACAAATACAACGTTATTCTCGTAGTAATAACTTTATACAAACTATTTACACATTTTTTATTTTTGTTTTAAAATTTTTAACTAAATCGGTGTTAATTTAATAAATTATCTAAATAATGTCATTAATTACAAAATTTGTAACATTATTAACAGCGGGCAGCATATCTACAACACTTATTACAGTATTAATTGGGTATGTAGTGTACAAAATTGCCAAATTTTACCACCTACGTTCAACATTGCCACCCGGTCCGCACCCCTGGCCACTTATTGGCAATGGTTTAAGTAAGTGTACAATAAAATTAATTATAATAAGTTTAATTAACTATACAATTCAACGTGTATTAAACTAATTATACAACCATGTTCAAATATTAGTGCAATTTAAATCGGGTCCCGTTTGGCACCAGGTTTTCCGTGGGCTGACCGCACAGTACGGCCCGGTATTTACCTTCTGGTTCGGTGGCGTTCCCCGTATTATCATTGCCGACACCGATATGGCCCGCGAGGCGTACCGTAAAAATGATTTTGCTGGTCGACCATGGTCATATTTGGGTTAGTAAATAGCATGTTATTTTAATATTACATATTCATTGTTATTGAATACTGTACACATTACTTACAATTAATTGTATTAATTGTAATTGTAATAAATTTATATAAATTGCATAGAACTTGCTAGATTAATTAGATCTTTACTATTTTTATTATAAAATAAATATTTTATTTAACAAAACAGGCTCTCAGTTATCAAACGATGATTTTAAGGACGTGTTGTTCACTGATTACGGCCACACGTGGGAAGCGCTCAGACGTGTGGCCCACTCGGCGGTCATGTATGTTATTTATAGCAGTTTTTATTTTCATGTATAATTAATTTAGAATACATTTCATTAAATAACTTTACAAACATATTTTAAAATGATAATTATGTTACGAGATATTTTTCTGACAAATAATATTTATTTAAATTTAAAATAATTTTATTATAAATAATTCTATGATCTAGAAAAATAGTTCAATAATTAAAAGTTTTAATAGTAAACTAATATTAACATTGATTGATTTGAAGCCCAATTGAGTCCGTTTGAACAAGGTATTTTTTTATTGCATACAACAAATTAAATAACTTTATAACTGATGACAGTTTTTTGTGTAAAATATTACTTTATTTTAGTCGCATGTCTTTTAATATGGAAAGTTAAGTCATATTTAGTAGAATAGGCTTTATTACAATCATTGAAATGACAAATAAAAGGTTTTTCTCCCGAATGTGCGAATTTGTGTCGAATTAGATTTTGTCTTGTATTGAAATTTTTGCCACAATTTTCTTCATTACAT